ATATATATATATATATATATATATATATATATATATATATATATGTCAAAACAATACCAAAAGTATCCCAGAACATTAAGGAGTTACTGAAAATAGAGTGTGCAGTACCTGGCTGATAAGAAAACTGCACAGAGCTCGGTGAGTCACAGCCATGCCCAGGGAATACCCCAAGCCTCCCAGTAAATGAATGCTCCCAGCAAACAGATGACAAAATACTCTAAGCAGTGAAGAACAGGAGGTGAGATAGAGATCAGCAAGACAGCTATCTGCTCAGGGCGCATCTAAAGGCAGTGGAGCAGCTGCCGAGAGATCCCTTTTCATGACAGCTGTCTGGGCATTTTCACCAGGGCAAGACTCACTAACAGATTTCCTCAAAAGCAGCAGGGCATATGCTAAGGGGGACTCAGAAGTCATGTCTAGAGGAACACGAGGAAAGCAGGAAGAGATCCGCCATAGTCGTCTGCACAGCTCCTAAAACCGGAGTTTCTGTGATCAGAACCATCATTCCCCGAGTGCTTGCTCATTCTACTAAAACATTGTTCAGGCACCAGGAAAGAGTAATCTATTGACAAAGATAAATACATCAGCAGCAAACAGAATCTTTTCACTGGCATTTTGTCTGAACCAATTGAGGTCATCTCAAGCTAACAGCTACTAAACCTCACCAATGTAATTGCTGAATTTAGAATTATAATGTTCATAGCCTAAACCAACTAAACAGTGACAAAAATCAAAATTTAGTATCTATGAAAAATTTAATATTAGAAGACACCAGAAAGCTTTATGTTGCTGTACCGGAATACCTGAAGAAATTAATTTACCAAGAGTAAGGTCCACTTTGAGTTTTTCAAAGGTTTCTGTCCATGACTGGGTGATCTCATCATCATGGTGGGAATATGTGGTGAGGCAATTTGGTTTTTAATCTTAACCCTATAAGCAAAGAGACATAGAGACGTCAGGGTCTCACAGTCCTCAAGGGCATGGTCCCAATGAACCAAGAACTTTTCACTAGATTTCCCTCCTGAAGGTCCCCAGCACCTCATAATTCCACCACCCCAAGGACCAGGACTTTACCCATAGAGCTTTGGATGTCACTCATCTAAATCATAGTAGCAAAAAAAGAAATAGGGAAAATGATTTTAAAAAATAACCTTTATCATACAAATTGTTAGTGCAATGTTAGTACAATGTGGGGAAATTCTAGAAAGTACTAGGTCTGTATATGCATAAATCCTACAGCCTGCTGCATTGGCTCCAGTAGATTATTAAAATAATATAAAAGAAAAACAAAACATTTACCAGAAAGACATTTATCCATTAGGAGAGAAGACCGCTCAACTTTTTATGGGAATGTTTAAACATGAATAGACCTGATAAGTATGTATTTGTTTTTAATAAAATAAAAATATGAATGAAATCTTGTAAGGAAAAGGCAGGGGGAACAACTACAGATTCCATCATTATTCTAACATTTTGGATCCCACCCTTCTATGTGTGCTTGTCAATCCAGGATAATGTGTGCCTTGAACTGGTGCACACAGATAAGCCTGTCAAGACAGAAAGTCTCTGTATTCTTGAAAAGAACTATTTGGCGACAGTAGGCATCTAGGAAGACTTATATGGAGTGAATTTTTAAACATAAATGAGAGTGATGTGATTGTAGATCAGTTGATAAGTTGCTTAAAGCAGGTACAGAGCCCTGAATTTGATACCCAGCATGGCATAAAACAGATCTGGTGGTGTGTATCTGTAATTCCAAAACTCAGGAGGAGAGGCTAGTGGATCAGGAGTTCAAGAACAACCCAGAGAGTTCTAGCTGAATGAGACCCTGTTTTAGGAAGAGAGAGGGGTGGGGGGGAACACGCAACATGGGCGAAGGGAAAAAGGGAGGGAGGAAGGGAGACAGAAAGAAGAAAGCAAATGAAATCTCCAGGAGAGAATGTGTCTCCCTTCAATTACAAAATAGTGCAGATTTTCCTAAAACAACTCTTTACCCTTGAGATTTTCCCGGTCATTCTTTTTCCCCGGTGTTTCTGATATCCTTCTCGGAAGGTCACCTGTCTGCCTCAGGCTTGCAGTTCAAGCTGTGGTTCTCAGCTGCTGTTGCAGCCTCCTGCCTCTTGCCTCCTCTTGCCACTGCTGCACCATCAGACACGAAACCCTGAAATCATAAGCCCCAAATAAACTCTTTCTTCTATGAGTTTCCTTGGCTATAGCACTTCATCATATCAATAGGAAAGTATCTAAGACAAATAGGAAACAATAATCAGTGAAGGTGAATTCTTTCTATGTATTTGGCGCTGATCCAAGTACTTCATACATATTAATTTTCATCCATAGACAGGAACGATATTTCCAGCTTCATCTGTTGATACGACAGATATAAGGAAGGAAAAAGAGGCCCAGTGAAGCTATAACAGCTAGCAGCGTGAAGGCAAATGTTACAAACTGTTTCCTCATAAAGTATGGAGAAAGCTGGTATTGCTCAGGACCCTGACATAGGCTATTGAGGATCTCCAGATCCAGTTAGCAGTGTGCCTATGTTCTGGAGGCAAATCAATATCCTGACTGGATAGAAAGACTTGTTTGGATGACCATTATGATAGGGTCAGTGATCTGGTAGCTTTGCAGAGTAATCCATTTCCCCACCTGGACTACATCTAACTATAAACATTGTGGTCCAAGATGTTTACAAGGGAAATGAAGTAGTTCAGGGAACCCCAGGTAACATGGCAGACTGAGAGCCCCTCATCAGCCCAGCACAACCTAGGTACAACTTTATAGTTGTCCTCAAGCTTGCAACAGATTTTCAGTGCAGGGAGCAGAGGAGACTCAGACAGTGCTGTAGGTTTTAATCCCATCAATCCTTGTAAAGTACAGAAGAGCAGCTGGGCTAACAGCAGTGTGGTATCATGGTACTAAGTACTTCAGAAATCATTGTTCTTTTGGTATATAATGCTAAGGGTCGAATCCATATTTTCACTCAGGATAAGCACGATTTCTACCACCGATCTACATCTCTGAGTGATTTGAAACAGAATAATTGTAGCACAGGCTGGCCTCAAACTCACGATTCCCCTACCTCATCCTTCACAGCTAAAAATCCCTTTATAAATCCTCTCACTGAATGAGTGCAAAGTGGAAGAGACAGTGTCCATGCGATGCCCCCTAGATGCCAGCTCCTTGGAGCCTAGGGGAAGCATTCTGTTTTTGCCAGCACAGAGGTGGCCCACTGACAGCTTCACTGAGAACTGGGGAACTGACTAAACCACTTGGGTTGCTCAGTTGGGGTGATGAGGATGATGATGTGGAAGAAGTGGAACTTTGATCTGAGCTTCATGCTCAGGGAAGCAGGGGAGCACAGGATCACCAGGACATGCCCTTCAACTGGAGTTTGCATGAAAAAGTAACCAGCCACAGACACCTGCACTGGTCTTTGGGCTTCCTGAAAGGAATTTTTGAGATTTTTCAAATGAATACAAAGTAAATTTTGAGAAGATCAAAACTGATATTTTTACACCTAAAAAGGTAGAGATTTCAGTAGTTATATTTGAGTAATTATGTTAATATTTGGAAGATGTGAATATCCAGGGTCTATCAATCTTTCCCTGTGTCTCTGTCTCTGTCAGTCTCTCTCTCTTTCTCTCTCTCTCTCTCTTTCTCTCTCTCTCTCTCTCTCTCTCTCTCTCTCTCTCTCCATCCCTCCCTCTTCTCTCTCTTCCCTTTCTCCTTCCTCATCCACCCACTATCCCATTCTATCTGTCAGATTATTTAATCTCTAAACTCAGCTTTACTCTATTTTAGGTTTATTCTCCCAAACTCAATTTTAAAGCTGTATAACAGCATAAAGAATTTAATGCACATAATAGAATAATAGCTTCCTAAATTTTGAGTAGGAAGTAGGAACAGACTCACAGTCAGAAAAAATAATTATTTGTGCATGCCACCTGTGAACACACTTTTAAAAAAAGAGCTCACTTTAGACTTGTCCTAATTTTAACTTAATTTCATTTTAACACTTGTGTTTGCAAACATTTCTGAGATTCTTTCTATAACGATTGGTTTCCATCAATTTACCAGCGAAATTAGTGTGAAGACTTTGGAATTACAGGTTCTGATTGAATCTGCATGTAGTTCGCTGCACTAATTGATTAGAGTCAAGGCATTTTTAGGATATGCTGTATTGCATCCATGGAGACATCTTAGTAACAACTGACACTTTCTGTCAGGGTCCACCACACTTACAGAATACAGTCTGACTGTGGAGAAGCAAAACATGATTTTGACAGATGAAACACCTAAATATATTCATGCTCTTTAAAATCTAAACTCTCTAGGTGGGTCATTAGAAACAATACTTCAAAATCGAGACTGACAAGTGGAGGAATAGTAAGTATCGCTCCATTGTTAAAGCTCAATATAGCTTCCATACCATTAAAAATGGGGGTTTTGATCTGCTAACAAAGTGACGTTTTGATTTTACTGTCTCCTCTCACACCCTTCTCACATTGACAATTTGTAGCAAAGAAAGAACAAATCAAGCAGATAATTTGAATATTGGCTTTTGTCTTCCTTTCTGTCTGCCTTTTCTAAAGAGATAAACTGACAAGGGATGCCTTGGTTTATCCAATCTCAACAATTTCTCTTTCTCTTGACATCTTTCATGAGCTCATTTATGTTAGCATGCGGACTGTTTCTCCACTTGGATTTTGCATGAGATGAATAAATTGTAATTAAATGAAATAAAGTATTAATGACCCTAAATCCTTTATAGTTTCTTTAAAAATATGAGCACTATTGTCACAGGATTAAAAAAAAGGTTTGATACATCACTGTGCTTACATTTTTAAATTAAATTATGATATATAAATTTCCTTCTACAGAGATCTCCTCCCCAAGCCAGCAGTTAGTTTTCTTGGATGTAATTTCTTTATAAAATAGTGTTTTATTAGTATGTATGTTCCCTTTATCCACATTTAACATCATTGTGAACATTGAAGTTTTATTTAATAAGTATATGTATATAATTATAGATATATAGGCATTTACTTCCTCATTTTAGCAAATGAATATTCAAATTAATGAAACTTATACCTTTACTGTTGGACATTGACGATAATTCTGGTTTTCTTTTTGGATTACAAAACTCATGCCAGAACATGTGTCTGTATGTGTCTCCTAAGATGCTCAGGAATTAATAAAAATATATCATATTGTTCATCAATTTTCCCAGTCCACACTTCAAATACAACAAAGTAAAGAAATGTTTCTGACTTTAATATTCAAGAAATACCTAATGATGTGGTCAGGCAGGAATGACTGTTAAGGCCAATGATGGTCAACAGCAGGTCTAAGCAGCCAGGTCTAGCTCTGTTTATGGTGGGTAGCAGATTGGAAGACTTCTGAGACATGATGTTTTGGCCTTTTTCCCCATGAGGATGAATCCCTGCTACTTTTTAACGTCAAAAATGAAAAAAATATCAAAATCCACATAACAGTGTCTCAAGTAGAAAACAGATAAGAGAAGCCCAACTGTGTACATCTTTTTTCCTCTCTTACTCTGGTATAACACATTAAGGAGATTTTGTACCTGACCTGATGGGTTTCTTTCCACGGATGCAAGCCGACTCATTGCATGCACACAAATAAATAAGTATAATTCATTACATAAATAGATTTAAGGTTGCTAATCAAATGATCATCTTAATCTCAAAGTCCAACACCTGTTAATGATATAAACATTAGGAATAGAAAGAGCATGCTGCCACATAGCAAGGCGAAATGTGACAGACCTGTTGTCAATACTATATTGAAGAAGGGGGAAACAGGTCCATTTTCTCCATAATCTAACATGAGACAAGGCCATCCACTCTCTATTTTTACTTTGTATGTTGTTTGGAGTCATAGTTAGAATAATTAGACATGGAAATATAAAGGATGTAAACAGTAATTTCAAATTATTTCTACTTGCAAATGGCATTTTTCTAGACCTAAAAGACCAAACAGAATCCCACAGAAAATTCACAGTTGTAATTAGTCATCACTTTCAGAAAAGTAGAATAGAAAATGAACAAAACCTGTTAGTTTAACTACATACTAATAAACTACAGAGAAAGCATACGTGCAGGGAACCCAGTCACAACAGCCTTATTTTATTAATTACATACAAAAAAATTCACCAATAAAAGACTACACAATGAAAACCTTAAAACCAGGCAAAAGAAATTGAAGAGGAAACTAGAGGATGTAGTGAGTAGCCATTCCAGCTTTGATCTGGAAGTCCTAACCCCCACTGAGGCTATGTAACTGTCACGCCTACAAGGCACGGCTGAGAGAAGACCCTGAAGACCCGAGATCCGGATGCACTGGCTCTCTTCGTTCCTGGACCCTGGACACTGGAGGTAGACCAAGCAGAGTTCTCCAGAGAACACCTGTGGACTGTGCTACACCTTTCCCAGACTCTGTTACCTATCCCTTCACTTGTGAGTTACCCCACAAAATAAACCTCCCTTTTAACTACGTGGAGTTGCCTTAATAATTTCACCAATATCTGGCACCCGAACAGGGACTGTAGTAGCAAAAACAACCCTCATCCAAAATAGGAATTACGGAGATATATTGCAATATCTAATCTCAAAACACATTATAGTACTAGAGTAACATGAACAGTACAGTGCGTGTAATGAAAGCCAATTAGACTATTGTTATATATTAGAGAATCTAGAAATTAACCAAACAGTCGTAGGTACCTAATTTTTTTTTGACAAATCTGTCAAAAATAAACACTGAGGAAAAGACAACATTAACAAGAGGAACTGGAAAGAGCTGGATTTTTATATGTAAACAATGACTCTAGACCCATAATTTCAACATGACTAAAAATGAACTTAAAGTGAATCAAAAGCTTGAAATTTTGAAGACAATAGAGGAAAATGTGTGTTTGTGTGTGTGTGTGTGTGTGTGTGTGTGTGTGTGTGTGTGATGATAAAAGAGATCATGAATTTGAAACAGAGCAGAAGAGGTACATAGAGAGTTTGGAGGAAGGAGAGAGAAGGGAAAATTATATAATTATAATCTCAAAAAATAAAAGGAAAATATGGGTAAGATTCTGCAAGATGCAGATATAGGCAGGATTTTCTGCAAATGACTCCCACAACATAA